ACCCCTGATGCTCCCTACAGTTGCGATGTCCTCAGTTACCCCTGACACGTCAGCCTACAGTTGCGGTGTCCTCAATTACCCCTGATGCTCCAGCCTACAGTTGCGGCGTCCTCAATTACCCCTGATGCTCCAGCCTACAGTTGCGGTGTCCTCAGTTACCCCTGATGCTCCAGCCTACAGTTGCGGTGTCCTCAATTACCCCTGATGCTCCAGCCTACAGTTGCGGTGTCCTTAATTACCCCTGATGCTCCAGCCTACAGTTGCGATGTCCTCAGTTACCCCTGACACGTCAGCCTACAGTTGCGGTGTCCTCAATTACCCCTGATGCTCCAGCCTACAGTTGCGGTGTCCTCAATTACCCCTGATGCTCCAGCCTACAGTTGCGGTGTCCTCAATTACCCCTGATGCTCCAGCCTACAGTTGCGGTGTCCTCAGTTACCCCTGACACGTCAGCCCCGCCGCTTGACCGCGTTCTGTCGCAAACAAGGGAAGTCCTGGTAACAACGCAGGTTGACGTCCGGCTGATGACAGGCATGGTCAGGCAGCCCGCGCTGAGCCGAGCCTCTTGGCCGCCATTTAGTTGCAGGTAACCCAAGTTCGGTATTTAGAGCTGTTTTGAGCGCTCCGTTTTGGTTTTTGACGCTGCTGTCCCCGGACGTGCGACGCTGACGCAGATGTGTGACGGTTTTGTCTCCCCTGCAGACGTATGACGTTTTTGTCTCCCCTGAAGACGTGTGACACTGTTGTCGTCCCTGCAGATGGATGACGCTGTTGACTTCTCTGCAGACATGTCTGCCGTCCAAAGGCAAAAAGACCTCAGCGCGGTTTTTTGAAAATGGGGCCATTTAATCAATTTCATGCAGGTCGAATGGATCATCGTGTGATAAAAAGTAAACAAGGCAGGAAAAGTGACCTTCAAAATGCACGCAAATTTCCTTCTCTAAACAAAAAAGACTTTTTGATTCACTGAAAGCGTAAAAGGCTGCTCATGAGCCAATTATGGGACGGCGATGAAGCACCACCTACAGGCATTTCGACGTCAGCTGTGACGCTTTTGTCTGCTCCGCAGGCCTGTGACGCCGCGAGGTACCGGCCCCAGTTTCCTCTGCCCCCGTCCCGGCCGGCTCCCGGGAAGGCGCCGTCGGTCCCCGACCCCGTCACGGACGGCCCAACATCCCGCTGCTGCAACGTCTCCTGCCCTCGCTGCCAAAAACCATGCGGCCATCACTGCTGCAGGGTGTTCGGCTGCCGGTAGCACAGCGCTGTGGCCAGCACTGCTGCAGGGTGTTCGGCTTCCGGTAACACAGCGCTGTGGCCAGCACTGCTGCAGGGTGTTCGGCTGCCGGTAGCACGGCGCTGTGGCCGTGCTCGCAGCGCTGTGACTCGGTACATGTCTCGCTCAGCGAGCGATGCCTGGCAAGGCTGCCGCAAGCGTGCGCAAACTGGTACTGAGTACGGCTCAACCGAGTTCAGTGACTGATTAATTAATGTTTGTTGTATGCTGTTTTTAAATGCGAGCCATGTAGTCCAAAAGGGTGATATCAAATGGCCCAGCAGAGACACTATGGCCTTCAGCTGTAAAGTGCCAACATTAAGTGGTTTAACAGAGATATTATGACCTGCGACCAAGTAAGACAACAGCGTTGCTTCATTCAGCGCCACAAGCTGTAGGCGTTTGTTTTTTGCAAAGGTATGGTGGTGGAATCTTATGCGTCGTTCGATAGCCCAGCTATTCTGATATACAGCCTCTCATAAGATTGTTTAATATGCCACCGTCTCCGGGGATTTTCCAAGATCATGGAAAGAAACAGTTGTGAAAGTTATCTTCAAAATGCAAGGTACTCAGTGACATTTCCGTCAGTGCTGTACCATAAGTCTTCTGACATGTTTACAAAAAATCCTAGACAACTTGTATTTACTGCCATCTTCTCCCACGTCACATCAAACAAACCCCGACCAAACAGAGTGGTTTAACGCCCGGGTCACAGCACTTGATTACAAATGATGTGCCTCACTAACAACCTCCATGGACTACTGGACGAACTGCGTGACGTGGCAGCGGGTTCTTCGACACTTCTAAATATTTTGACAAAATTTGGGAAGATGAACTTTTCCTCAAATGTGAAGCAGCTTCTCCTGATCGGACACCATTCTAGTCGGGCTGAAATCATACCTGGCAAACAGAAGGCAGATAATGAGGATGGGAGACGCCTTTTCTTTGACAAGAACTATAGACTCCGGCTGCCCGTGGCAGGCGCGTGGTTTCGCAGAGTAAGAGAACGGGGGGGGGGGGGGAGGGGGCTGAGCAGTGAAAAATGACCCAACATACCCCCGAAATACGCCAACAAGATAGGATTCTCTCCTGATTTTTCCCACTTTTTCCCAAAGTGGGAGAAGGAGGGAGGGGGACTGAAGCCTCCAGCTGAAAAGAAACCTACACCGCTGGCCCGCAGAAGTCGGTCCTAAGACCGTTTTTGGCTGGAAGGCATCTTGATGGACATGCTGACCAAGTAACTAATGACCAACTCTGTTATGCCGATGACACCTCCCTTCACGCCTCCCTTACCTCACTTACCCCAGGCAATGCTGACAGTATAGGCCTCAGTTCAACGCGGCTCGGATGCTGTTGACGAGTACGGTCAGGAGTGGGCCAATAAATCTTATTCCTTAAAAACAGTACCATAGACATTCAGCCATAGAACGCATCGCACGCAGCCGATGCTAAAAATCTCAGCCCAACATATTCACCCTGGCACCGACGCACACAAACACCTAGGACTTACTCAATACACAGATCTGAACTATTTTATACATGTTAACAACATTATTAAAAAGGCGAATATAGCCCCCTTTGTACCCCATAGCCCTATGGTAACTTTACGCCATAGCTAAGCGCATACAGCGCAGCATACTCAGTAGCATACGCAAAGCTTGCGAAGGACTTCATTCTAACTATTGTGACATTGTTTTTGACACGTACATTTCATCGCAGGACGAACAACGAATAGAAAAAATACACCACCGGGCGGCGAGACCCGAGACAGGAGTCTCGGCCAGGACATCGACTGATAAATTTAGGCAACACTTAAGGTGGAACGCATGTAAGACACAACGAGGGCTGCTCGAACTGTCACTTTTCACATGCTGAAGAGCACAAAACACGTAGATACGGCGGCAGTAATGGCCTTATTTCTCGTAGAAAAACGAGCAGAATGAAGATGTATATGCGTTGGTCCCAGTTTTTCAGTCAACTTTTGAACCCCGACAACAAGCACAAATTAATGTATAGAATAAACATCAGCAATGAAGGCGGTCGGGTGCTCGGGGCGTGCTTCCAGATCTGCATCATTTAAGTATGAAAACCGCGACATGAGTCGGAGGCGGTGGCGGTGGTGGCAGCTGGTGCTGCAGAGCATGCACACCGGCTGTCACCTGTCTTGTTTCTTCTTTTGGGAGAGGTGCCCAGATTTAAGTCTTATGACTTTTGCATCAATCCTTTTATGTGCTTTATGCGCCAGTGTATTCATGTTATCGTACTGTTTATTGCATGTTGAAATAAAACACACCATAAAACAAAGATAGCATTTAGAAATGATTGAGCACGGCTGCGTATGGATATGTTCTGATATGCACTCGCATACTGCTTGCGAGGAACTGCCTTATAAAATGAACATACATAGACATTCTACGTGGAGGCTCAGACACCTTACTGTGTTTGTTCTAGCTTTCTCTCTCTCCTTCCCGCTATTTCCTTTCTTCCCCTCTATTACTCTCCCTTTCCTCCTCTCCCCATTTAACACTCCATCCCCTCCCAATGCTCATCCTCATCCTCTGCCTTTGCTACTCCCCTACCTCTCCCCGTTCCTTGTTTAACTCTATCTATCCCCTAGACATTCGCACTTACCTTTTTCCCACTGACTTCAACGATCATGAAACCATCCGTGATCATATGATTATTGTAATCCCACAATGGCGCTGCGCGTGCTTCGGGATTAAATGGCGACCTTCAGAATTATGCAACGTAATCCGAGTTGGCGATTGGCCGTAACATGCGACGAATGGCAGAGCTCTATGTGTTTGATGCCATCTTGGTGTAATCGTCAATGTGCTTAATGGTTGTACTTAACGCGGGCTACCCTGACTCGCTTGCTCGTCTCTTACGCCTCGCACTTTGGTGAAGTGCACGGTCGACCCATGAAACAGAACAGCGAGCTCCCCATGCTCCTTTCACGTGCTGCAATGAGAAGGCAATGTTTTTCGAGCTGCTCATCCAAGACGCAAAACGCATTCTCGGGCTACCTTGGACAGCTCCCGACTGTCTTTTTCCCAAGGCAGTTGAAGCGACATTTAAGGGATATCTGAGGACGCAATGACCTATCTGTGCAGCGGAATCGTGACCGGTGGGCCTGTGCATCTCCCTCAGTCTGTTTGCTTTTGTATGACTGCTTTGTCCCTAGGACCGTTTTTAACCGTTCATTTATCTGCCGGCGATGTGTAGTGACAGCCCGAATTTATTCCGCATTGCCAAATGCACGCCAATTCGTCAATACTCTGTGATGACGGCGTGAATGTACAGCACTCTTAAAAACTGAGCTGAGCTGAACTGATCTGAACTGGGTCAAACTCAGCAGAACGGAACACCTGGCTCACGGTTCCCGAACAGGCGCTCGCGGCTCCGGCACCATCGGTGCTCATCAAGGGAACACGTGTCCAGCCGGCGCCAGCAGACCACGCGCGCGGCTCGGACACGGACGCCTGACGACGGTAGCTGACGTGTCCCGGGCCCATCGGCCTCTCGGCTCTTCCGTCGAGATCGCGTGTCGTGTCTTAACGCTAGCTAGGACAGGATCGCGACCGGTGTTCCGACATTCGCTGACGCTTGATGACTGCGCCGTTTTGTGTGTGGGTCCCGTCGCCCTCGCCGGCGGCGCTGGCCTCGCCTCTGCTCAAGGTCACGGACGTCCCGTCTGCGCATGCGCTCTAAAGTCGGCCGGCGGTAGCGAGGGGACGCGTGAAGGCGCCGATCGGCTCCGAATCTGCTGCGCGGAGGTGCCCGGGTGGACTGAAGCGAGGAAGCCGATACGTTGGAACGACTGAAGCCACACGCCGCCAACAGCCAAGTGAGACTCGGCGGGGGCTGGGGAGGGGTTCGCTACGTGGTTCGCTGGATCTGAGTGTACCGAACGCGGGTATCGGACAGTGGGGCGGGGACTATGTTTGGGCTCCGCCGGCACTGCCGCCAGCACTCTACACCACAGTGCGCCGAGCCCAGGCCCCAAACCGGCTCTGCGCGTGCTGGAGCTGTTGGCGTCCAGCAGAGCAGGCGATCGCGCACGTGGAAACGGTGATGGAGGGGGGCATTGACCTGCCCGCTGTTACTGCATTCAGCGTCGATCGTTGGGTTTTAGACAGCGATCAATGTAGCAAATGCCTACGCAAAACTTACATTGCTCAGGTTCTGAATAGCGATTCCAAAAATAACATTTTAAAATGGTCATCGCGTTTTTCTTCTCCTTTCATGGTTTCGTAATGGTGCTGTCTCTTTTCTTGTGATGGTTGCTTTGGGACAGTCTCGTGCCCTGGGCCCTTGGAACATTTCTGCTCCCCTGCAGGCCATCAAGGATATTCATGCACGGCCATGCAGTAATAAACAGGTGACCTGAGAATGTAACCGGCCAGCCACCGGTAATAGACAGGTGACCTGAGAATGTAACCGGCCAGCCACCGGTAAAAGACAGGTGACCTGAGGATGTAACCGGCCAGCCACCGACATACGCAGTCATTCACGGCTTTCAAGTACTGTGTTGAGTTGTTTCGGTTAAGTGCAATATTCTGGGATCCCCCTAATTGGTTTTCAGACAGTCCCTGCTTACTTCTCCTTAGATCAAATAAGGTGGACACGCCGAGCTGGACACGCCGGCAACGCTGGCGTAGAACGCGCAGCAGAACGCTTCAACGTAGCACCTCTCCTCCAAGACTTCTCTCACCAGCCTGTCTTCAGATCCTGACCCCGGGTCCTCATCCTTTTGTCTTCCCGCGGTTCACGTGATACCCACTTCATCGTGCATAGCAACTGGCATAGGAGCAGCCACGTTGGCAGTGGGTGGGTTTGAGGTCAAATAAATAAATAAACCAGCCGGCCGATCAGTGAGGGCAGCTCCCCAGCCGATCCTGGCGCCACCAGCGGCATCAGCCTGTAAACAACGTGCAAAACATGCTTCTCTTTCCCTGCGACTTGTCCGGCTTCGAGAGGGTATCATCGGCTGGCGCCCCCGTCGTTGGAACTTACCACGGAACGTAATGCTTGAATCAGTGCCGGAAATCTCGTCATCGCATGACCTGGCAGGTATTTCATGAACTACGCGAATCCCCTCGGTCGCACGGGGGGCGAGCCGCACCGCGGGAGTACGCAGAGCAGACGGTGGCACAGGACATCGTCTCAGTCCGGGCGGCGGAAAACGCGGAACGGATCAGCCAAATGTTGCCCCTCATCACTGCCGCTTCATCTCCCTCTGCAACAGGGCCATGCCTTTGACGCGTACTGGAATCCACGTGCGGTTTGTGTCCATTCTCTGCCGTTAATAAAATCTGCATATATTCTGTCGCATATATATATATATATATATATATATATAAAGTTGCATAGAAGCATATAATCTGCCTCTTCCAACAATATCTTTGTCTTGACAGCGTTGATCGCAAGTTCGCGGCCAGATGGGCACCATATGTTTCCGCCCGCCCAGAAAAGCCCTCCCGAAAAATCGAGATATTGTTATCAGGTTTTTCTGTACGTGCATGCATATGTATATACGTACATCTATATATATCATATATCTGTACGTGCATACATATGTATATATATATATATATACATATGCATACATACAAACATGTATATTCATGCACTTGGGTAGTATGCTTTCATTAATGCAAGTTTTGTGATATGCAATGGCAAATGGACATTCAATCATTTTCTAGTGCCTTTGCTCGATTGTTGGAATTAAATCCTTTGTTATTTTTGATAAGTCACAAATAAGTTTGACTATGCCGTTTCACTTTCAGCTAGCTAAGGTTTCATGGACATTTGCTTTCCATTCTCAAAGTAATGTAAGACGGTCGGACGGAAAACGTTCAACATAGTAAATACGACGCATGCTCTACGAGGCATAAGCATTGGAGATCCATCAGTTGGCAGAATATGCATTCAAATATCTGGTCAAGTTACAAAACACGGACAAACACACACGCACACACACAAACACATCACTTTTCCAGCCAGTTTAACACCATGGGAAGGTAGAGACATCGAATCAGCCTGCTATCATTGGGCGACTAAACAAGTCCGAAGTGATACGTGACTTAAGCTGTTTGTTTAGGCCAGGGTTCTTTTTCTGATAAGGATGGCTTCAAGAACTTGTAAGCGGCGTTTGTTTGGGCATGATTTTGGAATCTGGGTGTTTTCAGTCGAGCTAGAGCGTAGGACTTTTATGGTGGGGTTTGCACATATGTCGGTCTGGCGTTGCCTCCTGCAGGTGCACCGTCATGAATCATGAAAGAGATGTCGAAGTCATTCCAATATAGATCGAGTTGCGGATCTGAGATCCGAGACGGCAAGGCTCACTCAGGGAAGGAGAAGCGACGGTCTCAGCACTCATTCCATCGGCTCATCCAGTGTTACGGAGTTTGGCGAGCGTCGAGGTACACACTGCGCGGTTAGCCGGCCGCGAGCCATGGGCCTCGGCCCTTCCCCACTCCGGCATATCAGATGCACGGCTCGTTCCTGCTTCCAAGGGAGTGTTTAGCGTTTTGTTTGACAGGTGTGGATGTCGGCAGTCTCTTGGTGATGTGGGTGGCCGTCTGTCGGTATGGATGTCGCCAGTCTCTTGGTGATGTGGGTGGCCGTCTGTCGGTATGGATGTCGGCAGTCTCTTGGTGATGTGGGTGGCCGTCTGTCGGTATGGATGTCGCCAGTCTCTTGGTGATGTGGGTGGCCGTCTGTCGGTATGGATGTCGGCAGTCTCTTGGTGATGTGGGTGACCGTCTGTCGGTAGGGATGTCGGCGGTCTCTTGGTGATGTGGGTGGCCGTCTGTCGGTATGGATGTCGGCGGTCTCTTGGTGATGTGGGTGACCGTCTGTCGGTATGGATGTCGGCGGTCTCTTGGTGATGTGGGTGACCGTCTGTCGGTATGGATGTCGGCGGTCTCTTGGTGATGTGGGTGACCGTCTGTCGGTATGGATGTCGGCGGTCTCTTGGTGATGTGGCTGGCCGTCCGTCAGTGTGGATTCCAACAGGAGCGCTTCTTATGAGAGGGAATGCCACGTCAAAGGCGGAGGTCTTAGCCGTTTGTGCTGGACACTTTTGACGAGCAGCAGCAGTACGTCCACAAAAGAAGCGAGTTGTATGGGGAGCAAAAGCGTGGACCAGCCCCCACCCTGGCCTAAAGATGAAATAAGGAGGATGAACATCGAGATAGAGACGAGAACCCGGGATAAGGGACACAGCTGTGGCGCAAACAAGGATTACGAGAGTGATGACTAAGAACAAGACTGGCCAGCGTGGTGCTTGCATGCGTGAAGTTCGGTATGTATTACGATACGCCCACGTATTTCGACAGTGTTTTCTTCGTAGGATAAGGCAAAATTTCATCGCATCCTTGGCCCGCGGGTGCCGTCTTCATCTCGTACCCTGCGATACTGCGCAATCCTCAGTCAAATTCTTGAATTTCGTATCTAGCATTTCACCGCGGAAGGCTCCTTCGCTACCTTTGTTGCACTCACCATGCCACGCTTGTTACATTAATGGAAGAATATATTGCTGATTATCGACCGCGCATGTTTTTACAGATACGTATATCAGTATACTGGCGCCGCATCCTGTCTGGCCACGTTCCCCTTGGGACAGTAAAGGCTCGCCTCAGATGCCTGTTCCCGTGACCTCACGAGGCCACTCCCCAGGTCAAGGGGCGGGGCAATGACCGTACTACCAGGGGGGGGGGGGGGGGTCGAGATGGGCACGCGTCAGGGTACCCAGACGGATCCCACCGTTAAAGACGTGGGCCACGTTATCCAAGGATCCCAAAAGGATCCGAAGTCCGCCCTTGAGATCCAAATATGTCTCTGGTCTGTCACTCCAGTCGTTTTCGGCTACGCCTCCTACCGCAAACACGGTTGATGGCGCCACTAAAGACCAGATCGCGTACAAGCGTCGTGCGACACCCAATAGACCTCTGGTGGCCCGCGCGCTCGCGGGGCCTTATCATCGCGTCTCTGTGCGAGTGGTCGCGTTAAGAGGGCGACGCCGCGGCTCGGGCCGACACTTCATATCGCACCTCCGCACGGCGACGGTGATCTCAGCAGGGCCGAGTCAACAGACGGCGGCGCTATCTGCCGCCGCGGCCGGCCGGCCAGCGGCGCCCTCCGGGGACGCCTACTCTCTGGAGTCGTCCCTTCCCGGCTCGCTGCCCCGGCTTATGCAGGCGTTTGTGGCCTCTGTTGCGGACGCAGGGGCTGGTCTGAATGGCTCGTCCCCCACACTGACTGGTCCTTGGTGGTCCGGGCACTGTGACGGGCCGGGCTCCGAAAAGTCAATCCACGGTTCACTGGAGCTGATGATTCGGATGCGCAAGTTCCAAGAAGATCTCAAATCAGACAACGGATCTTTAAATCATAAAACGAGGGTTTCAAGCATGAAGGTCACTTCCAGGCTCACTTTTCTCTCATTGTGCTGAACACAAGACGCAGCTCTTGGCCCTCCATTGGACTTAGTAATCGTCCTTTGGGTTAGAACATGTCAAGATTTTGATGGAGGTCCAAATCTATTCAAATATGTCTGAATCCAGAGTCGGAATCTGAATCCGAATACACCTTGCCGAGGGTTCGAATCCCGCAATTCCGCGAGTTCTCAGCTTGGATGGAAAGCGACCCGACCGTCCCTCCTCGTCACTGTCCAGGAGCCGCCCATGGCACCGCACCGATTCGTGGCGGGACGACACTGCTGAGGGCCGGACGTGACTTGGCGACAGACGCGACAGGCCGGTCCGATCGCCTGCGCCAGCAGGGGCGTACCCAGGCCACCGTCTGGGGGAGGGCAGGGCGTGCTCAGGTCGTCATGCGGGAAGAGCAGAGGCGTATCCACCCTATCGTCTGGGAGAGGGCAGGGACGTGCTCAGGTCATCATGCGGGGAGAGCAGGGACGTACCCAGGCTGCCGTCTGGGAGAGGGCGGTGGCGTGCTCGGGTCATCGTCTGGGGAGGGCAGGGGCGTGCTCAGGTCATCGTCCAGGGAGAGCAAAGGCCGCACCATGTGCCACCATCGGAAAAGGACAGAGCCGCGTGCTGATCAAACGATCCACGGCCAGCGCTGACGAGCTAAATAAGCGGTCGCACGGTGATATGGCGTAGACGGAGGCCGCCGAACGAGCGAGTGCCGGGCCGCATGGCGTTGCCAAGCGGCGGACTGCTACCGAGCCGGTCCAGGCGGCTCGAATGTTTACCAAGGCCCCTCCCCCCTCCCCAACACCCTCCTCACGTCTCGGCGCATGTTTTGACCTTGAATGACGTGATCTCACTGTTTGGAGTTGGAATGAAGTGGGTGGAGTGAAAAGAGTGTATTATTCGTGGTATGTCCACGGCGGGTGGATTAACTCATTAATCGGTGGGCACAGACGGGTGGGCTAATGGAATTGGTTTCGAAATGCCTTGCAAATTGTGCGATATGATTTTCCACCTCATGTGTGAAAAACATGACAATCATTTTGGATAATCGAGAGCATATGGCAAACTGGACACTAGAGGAAAATTGGGAGCGAGAGGAGCCGTGGACGTGGGAGTATGGCTATAGAGAGCCACGAGCATGATACAGGCGCACGGAGACACGATTTCCCAAATCAGGTTCTGGGTGGGACCGAGAAGCCAGCAGCTCTTCAAGGGTGTGCGCCAGTAAAATCGAAGCGTTCAGAGGCGTGGCCACTTGCTTTGGCTTTGCTCCGGAGAGATAACAAAATCCGCGGATGAACTGCGGCAGCTGGCTTCGGTTTGCAGTCACCTCCTGGAAAAAAATTCTGGACGATGGCTCGATGACGACTGGAGCGGAGGATGCGCTCGCAATTCCCTGGCGTCACCCAGTGCCACCTGACGTCACCATCTGACGTCACCCAGTGTGACCTGACATCATCCTCTGGTGTCACCCAGTGCCACCTAACGTTACCCTCTGGCGCCACCAAGTGTCACCTGACGTCACCTTCTGACGTCACCCAGTGCCACCTGACGTCACCTTCTAGTGTCACCCAGTGCCACCTGACGTCACCCAGCTTCCCCATAAACCTGCCGCCGCAGCAGGCAGGTGAAAAGGCTTCAACTCGTCGGTTGCACAGCTGTCCCGCAAACACCGACGCATCCGTATTGCATTCGTTTCATGTTTTCTCTCGGCTTTCCATCACGACATTCGGGCGGAACGCGTCGTCAGACTTTGAGCCCTGCGTAGTTTGCCGATTCCTTATCCACGCCCAAGATAGAAAACACTTTCCAAGCATCTCGTCTTCAAACCAAAGCGATTTGCCTGAGAGCTTCCAGCGGGCGCGGGCCGCAGACGGGTGGCTGAGTGGCGGGGCGTCCGCCGCCGGCCAGAGACGGCGGCCGCGCCCGGGTGGCTGAGTGGTGGGGCGTCCGCCGCCGGCCAGAGACGGCGGTATGGGGAACCGGAGCGGCGGTGGACGCCCGGTCCGTCTCAGCTTGCAGGTCGGGCGAGTGGGCGGTGGGTCGCGGGCTCCATGGCGGTGGCGACCTTTTTGTTATTGTTGGGAGAGGCGGTCAGAATTAAGCGTTCCGCCTTTGCGCCCATCCACTCATCACGTCATGTATTGCTTCTCGGTCACAACCGAACATGAACGACAACAACAACAGCACTGAAGCACGCCCTCGAGGATGGTGCAGGTGTCAGGAAGGACACTGTCCCGCTGGCGGTAGCTGGCCACATTGGTCCAGAATCGCATTATTTCGCCACCCAGTCTTTGCTACGTCACACATTGTCCGCGATCGGTGCACCTGACCACGGCGTCACCATCAGCGACCCAGACCTGGTCATCTGCTCCGACCAAACCCGTGACCCTGGCCCAGAACTCCGGAACTCCGGCCCAGGGTTCTTGACCTCGAATACTAACCGGGGACACCGACCAAAGCTTTGGATCCAGGACCATGACTCGGGACCATGACCCAGACCTGGTCCCCTACGGATGACGTCCGCCGCACCCAGACCCCGACATCGACCGGTGATCCCTGACCCAGATCTGGACATTGACCGGTGACCCTTGACGTCGACCGGTGACCTCTGACCTGGACCCGGGCATTGACCGGTGACCTCTGATCCAGGCCTGAAAATTGATCTGTGACCTATGACCCAGATCTAGACAACGGCCAGTGACCTCTGACCCAGTCCCTGGCATTGACCGGTGACCTTTGACGTCGACTGGTGACCTCTGACCCAGACCCAGACATTGAACGGTGACCTCTGACCCAGACCCGGACATTGACCGGTGACTTCTCCCCCAGGTGGCCACCATGCGGACGGTGGCCGAGGACAACTTCGGTGTGCACCGGCCGGCCGGTCAGCCGGCCGTGCCCGTGCGCCGCTTCACTCTCACCAACCCAGCGGGCACCGAGGCACAGGTCATCAACTACGGCGCCCGGCTGACCTCACTCAAGGTCAAGGACAAGCACGGTCGGCTGGTGGACGTGGTGCTCGGAGAGGACTCGTACGAAAAGTACGTCAGCAACACGTGCTATTTCGGCTGCACGGTCGGCAGGGTGGCCAACCGCATCGCCGGGGGAAAGTTCGTCCTCAATGGCCAGGAGGTCAACGTCAAGGTCAACCGGCCGCCGGTACACCTGCACGGCGGTCAGGTCGGCTTCGACAAGCAGCTGTGGGGCTCGCACGTGGAGGGCGACAGCGTCACCTTCACCTACGTCAGTCGCCACGGTGAAGAGGGTTATCCAGGACAGCTGACGACGCACGTGACGTATCAACTGACGGATGATAACCAGCTGACGATCCGCTATCGGGCGATGAGCGACCGGCCGACGCCGGTCAACCTCACCAACCACACCTATTGGAACCTGGCCGGCCACGGCGCTGGTCGCGACGAGCTCCTGCGTCACCAGGTCACCATCAACGCCGCCACGTACCTCGAGGTGGACGAGAACTGTCTGGTGACCGGTCGCCAGTGCTCGGTCAACGGCAGCGGTTACGACTTCCGCGTATCGCGCCCGCTCAGCGAGGCGCTGGCCGCGCTGCCACCTGGGGGCGGCTTCGACAACAACTACTGCCTGGAACGGCCGGGAGATGGCGGGGTGGGCACAGCGGCCCGCGTCGTCAGTCCCGACTCGGGCGTCGCCATGGAAGTGCTGACCGACCAGCCGGGCGTGCAGTTCTACACGGGGAACTTCTTGCCGGCCGACGGCGCGCCGGGAAAAGAGGGCGCCACCTACGGGCGCCAGGGCGCCTTCTGCCTGGAGACTCAGAAGTATCCCGATGCGGTCAACCACCCCGAGTTTCCCAGCACGATCGTGAACCCGGGAGAGCTCTACCAGCACACGTGCATCTATCAGTTCTCGGTGGACAACTCGTGCTGAATGCAGCGTGGACGCCACCGAGGCGGGTCGCAGATGGCGCTGGTGTGTCGGCGGTGCGGCGTTTCCGGCGCGGTAGTCCAGTTCAGGGTCCAGGCGGTGCGTGATAGACTAGGGGTGGCGTCGTTTGTCGCTCAGTGGCTTAACTGAGCAAGTTAACAGGTGTTGATTCAGCTTCTAATTGGGTTTGACGGCGTGTATTTCCTCCGGTTTCGGTTAGCCAGCTGCAGGCTGTGGCGAACTCTTTCTATCCGCTGTCGGAAAAACACGGCGACATGGCCGGGGCCGCGGATACAGGTGGATACCTGAAAATCTGCCTCACTGCCGGAGACTCGGGTTAAGACCAGAATTGAGGACAAGTGGATGTTGCAAACACGCTCATGTGATGCTTTCAGTCAACTGCCGATGCGAACTAAAACGCCATGTAAATACTGGCCGTGCGGCTTTAAGACCAGTCCGTTGCAAATGCGGCAGCTAACCGCCTGCTGGGATGGCCTAGCCTGCCTCATTTTTACACATCAAAATGATGCCGAGGCGAATCACGGAGCCGAGTGCAGTTGTGGTTCTCCCTAGCACTGGCGTGCAGTAGGCCGGCCTTATGGCGTCGAGCTCGCGGCGGCAGACGGACGGAAGAAAAGCGAGAGGGACAGCGAGCTCACACCTGGGCCACGTTAGAATCCGGGGGACCGTGCGTGGAGTCTGCACTGGAGTCAGGGATGTGGTAGGTAGACGGTGGTGCGAGTGTCGACCGCGCTGTAATGATAATAAAACGAGTGGTGTGACAAAAGATGGTTTGGACCGGGCGAGGACAGAAGACGTTTCCCAAAATCACGAGCAAGTGATACAAACGCTTCGAAGCACTTTCGCAAAATGATCACTGACAATGGCTATATAAAGACCCACATCTCATGGATCAGCACGCCTTGAGCGCCAACAGATGACATTACCGGCCACTGTGCGAATAAGTCAGTAGGCACCCGCAGGAGGGCTGAAGGCATGCAGACGGTTTGTAAACGGGACGCTGGGGCTCAGAGGGTGCCCGGCTCCGCTGGAGTTCCCTTTAAGCTGAGAGTGCCCGCAGAATGCTAGGAGGAGGGGGAGGGGGAGGACACTGTTCGCCACGTGCGCGCATGTCCCCCGGTCCGTGTTTTCCCACGTTTGCTGTCGCTGTCAGCAGAACGGCCGACCTGACCCATGGCAAGCCGCAGGTGATCATGCTCTCACGCGTCACCCGCTCCCGTCTGCCGGCAGGACTGCCGTCATCATGAGCGGAATGAATGACCTGACGATGGCGAACCCCCTGTTCGTCACCTTTCTCTTCTACGCCGCCATCCTGGTGCTGAAGACGGTGCTGATGTCGCTCGCCACCGCCCGCCACCGCATTGGCAAGAAGGTCAGTAGCAGTCAGTGGCCGTGGCGAAGAGGATCTTGCTCCAGATGGTGAGCTGGGAGCAAAGTCAGGCTCGACGTCGTTTCTGTCTATGTGACGTCGCGGGTCCGCTGCCAGGCTTTCCAGGTCAGGATTGTTCGGAGCTGGCATGTCAGGTCTGCCCCGTCCCGAGTTCGCCGTCCGTGGTAGCAGTGTAGACATGCCAGGTCTGCCCCGTCCCGAGTTCGCCGTCCGTTGGTAGCGGTGTAGACATGCCAGGTCTGCCCCGTCCCGAGTTTGCCGTCCGTGGTAGCGGTGTAGACATGCCAGGTCTGCCCCGTCCCGAGTTCCCCGTCCGTGGTAGCGGTGTAAATATGCCAGGTCTGCCCCGTCCCGAGTTCGCCGTCCGTGGTAGCGGTGTAGACATGCCAGGTCTGCCCCGTCCCGAGTTTGCCGTCCGTGGTAGCGGTGTAAATATGCCAGGTCTGCCCCGTCCCGAGTTCGCCGTCCGTGGTAGCGGTGTAATATGCCAGGTCTGCCCCGTCCCGAGTTCGCCGTCCGTGGTAGCGGTGTAAATATGCCAGGTCTGCCGCGTCCCGAGTTCGCCGTCCGTGGTAGGTGTAGATATGCCAGGTCCGCCCCGTCCCGAGTTCGCCGTCCGTGGTAGCGGTGTAGATATGCCAGGTCCGCCCGTCCCGAGTTCGCCGTCCGTGGTAGCGGTGTAGATATGCAGGTCTGCCCCGTCCCGAGTTCGCCGTCCGTGGTAGCGGTGTAAAATGTCAGGTCTGCCCCGTCCCGAGTTCGCCGTCCGTGGTAGCAGTGTAAGAACATGCCAGCTCTGCCCCCGTCCGAGTTCGCCGTCCGTGGTAGCAGTGTAGACATGCCAGCTCTGCCCGTCCCGAGTTCGCCGCCCGTGGTAGCGGTGTAGACATGCCAGCTCTGCCCCGTCCACGAGTTCGCCGCCCGTGGTAGCGGTGTAGATATGTCAGGTCTGCCGCGTCCCGAGTTTGCCGTCCGTGGTAGCAGTGCAGACATGCCAGGTCTGCCCCGTCCCGAGTTCGCCGTCCGTGGTAGCAGTGTAGACATGCCAGCTCTGCCCCGTCCCGAGTTCGCGTCCGTGGTAGCGGTGTAGACATGCCAGCTCTGCCCCGTCCCGAGTTCGCCGCCCGTGGTAGCGGTGTAGATATGCCAGCTCTGCCCCGTCCCGAGTTCGCCGTCCGTGGTTGCGTTTAGCGGTGTAAATATGCCAGGTCTGCCCCGTCCCGAGTTCGCCGTCCGTGGTAGCAGTGTAGACATGCCAGGTCTGCCCCGTCCCGAGTTCGCCGTCCGTGGTAGCGGTGTAATATGCCAGGTCTGTCCCGTCCCGAGTTCGCCGTCCGTGGTAGCAGTGCAGACATGCCAGGTCTGCCCGTCCCGAGTTCGCCGTCCGTGGTAGCAGTGTAGAATGCAGCCGTCTGCCCCGTCCCGAGTTCGCCGTCCGTGGTAGCGGTTGTAAATATGCCAGGTCTGCCCCGTCCCGAGTTCGCCGTCCGTGGTAGCTGTGCAGACATGCCAGCTCTGCCCCGTCCCGAGTTCGCCGCCGTGGTAGCGTGTAGATATGTCAGGTCTGCCGTCCCGAGTTGCCGTCCGTGGTAGCAGTGCAGACATGCCAGGTCTGCCCCGTCCCGAGTTCGCCCCGTGGTAGCAGTGTAGACATGCCAGGTCTGCCCCGTCCCGAGTTCGCCGTCGTGTGGTAGCGTGCAGACATGCCAGCTCTGCCCCGTCCCGAGTTCGCCGCCCGTGGTAGCGGTGTTTTGTGTAGATATGCCAGGTCTGCCCCGTCCCGAGTTCGCCCGTCCGTGGTAGCAGTGTAGACATGCCAGCTCTGCCCGTCCCGAGTTCCCCGCCCGTGGTAGCGGTGTAGATATGTCAGGTCTGCCGCGTCCCGAGTTTGCCGTCCGTGGTAGCGGTTGTAAATATGCCAGGTCTGCCCCGTCCCGAGTTCGCCGTCCGTGGTAGCGGTGTAGATATGCCAGCTTTGCCCCGTCCCGAGTTCGCCGTCCGTGGTAGCGGTGTAGATATGCCAGCTCTGCCCCGTCCCGAGTTCGCCGTCCGTGGTAGCGGTGTAGATATGCCAGCTCTGCCCCGTCCCGAGTTCGCCGCCCGTGGTAGCGGTGTAGATATGCCAGGTGTGCCCCGTCCCGAGTTCGCCGCCCGTGGTAGCGGTGTAGACATGCCAGGTCTGCCCCGTCCCGAGTTCGCCGCCCATGGGTAGCGGTGTAGATATGCCAACTCCTCTGCCCCGTCCCGAGTTCGCCGCCCGTGGTAAGCGGTGTAGATATGCCCAGCTCTGCCCCGTCCCGAGTTCGCCGTCCGTGGTAATATTGCAGTGAGTGTGTGTTCAGCTGTTATGTGTGATAGCTGGAACAGCTTGTCGCATGGTATGTGATTTCTTCCGTTTTGTGCCGTATGAACCCGCGCCTTAGGTTAGTGGGCGAGCTGAAATATGTATCCGTGTTGACCAGGCGATCGTGACTTTTAAATTCAGCGTCGTCAAACCGCCATTGTTGCCGCACAAGGTGTGTGCTATACAACGCCGTGCTTCTGCCAGCCAAGTTTTACCCGTGCGCTTAAACCGGACGTCGTAATGCCCACCGCGCAGGCCTGTTTGCGTTTCGCTTCGCACCGTCACCGCTCGCTGTGTAGGGGTGAGCCAGTCACCTCCATTATTATGGTATCTAGACGATACGACGATATTTATACGTGGCACGCGATTATGTCTGCGAAAATGTCCCGAACCTGCAGATTCAGGCATCGGTCCACCGAAACTTGAGAGGGAGATAGTCTTGTCCCAGGGCTCACGGTAAATAACGACGAGGTGGTCAGTCTTACCTCCTTCGCCAGTCTTCAGATATGTGAAGTGCCCCTTTTCCAAAAGCCTTTGCAAGTGGCCCCACCACACGGCGCACAAGTGACATCACGTGCCGTGTTGTGTCGTAGGATGTCTGGAGATGGACATCAATGCGAGAGGCCATAGTATCGCAGTATTGCGTCAAGTGCTTACGTGCTGGAAGTGGCGGACATGTCGCGCCTCATCCATCGGAAGCTACACCCCACAGCCTGATCTATATATATATATATATATATATATATATATATATATATAATTATATATATATGTGTGTGTGTGTGTGTGTGTGTGTGTGTGTGTGTGTGTGTGCGTGTATGTGCGTGCGATTCGACATCGCGTCATCCCCGGCGACGTCAGATCGCAGGCCACCTGCCTTTGTCTCGAGCCAGGCGGCCCCTCCGTGGTGACGCGAAGGGTACGTGCTTGCGTGCCGGTGTGCATTGCTTGCTTCCTAGACCTCAGCGGCGCTTGTGCAGTAACGTAGCAATGCCAGTGTGTGGGAAGAGTGTAACAGGACAACCATCGACCACCCCGACGTGCCGCGCTGGATTGACTGCTCCTCTACATCGCCGTTGTCACCACCACTTATTGTCATCACCACCACCACGTCACGCCACGCACGTGACTTGCCCGCCAGATATTCGCCAATCCGGAGGACGCCAAAGGCCTGCAGGGCAAGGTGAAGCTGGACGATTCCGGACGTGGAAGCGCGTGCGTCGCGCCCACCTCAACGACCTGGAGAACATCCTGCCGTTCCTCATCATCTGCCCCGCTCTACCTGGCCACCGGACCCCAACGCCTGGATGGCCACCATGCTGATGAGAGGCTTCGCCGCTACCAGGATCATCCACACCTTCGTCTACCTGAATGTGGTACGGGCAGAGGACCGGACGAGCAGTTACCGGGAAGAGACTTGCACGGGCCTTGGGTGAGGTGCTGGTGAGATGCTAGTGGTGTGTTGGTTAGGTGCTGGTACGGTGCAGGTGCGGTGTTAGTGGGGTGTTAGTTGGGATGTTAGTTGTAGTGTTATCTGGGTGTTAGTGAGATGTTGGTGGGTTATCACTGATGAAATATCGTTGGTGCCTTATTCTTTGTGCGCTGTTGTGGCGGTTGAGTGTTCACTGGTGGGGGTGTTCGTTCGTGGGGTGTTCGTTGGTGGGGTGTTCGTTGGTGGGTGTTCGTTGGTGGGGTGTTCGTTGGTGAGGTATTCGTTGGTGGGGTGTTCGTTTGGTGAGGTGTTCGTCGGTGGGGTGTTCGTTGATGGGGTGTTCCTTAGTGGGGTGTTCGTTGGTGGAGTGTTCACTGGTGGGGTATTCGTTGGTGGGGTGTTCGTTGGTGGAGTGTTCACTGGTGGGGTGTTCGTTAGTGGGGTGTTCACTGGTGGGGTGTTCGTTGGTGGAGTGTTCACTGGTGGGGGTGTTGTTGGTGTGGTGTTGGTTGGTGGGGTGTTGGTTGTGGGGTGTTCGTTGGTGGGGTGTTCGTTAGTGGGGGTGTTCGCTGGTGGGGTATTCGTTGGTGGG